GTAAGCTACACTTGACCATGTCTTGGTCTGGGGCTTGAACAGTGAAATGGTGAAAAGTAGCATAGGTCTGATTGGGCGGCAGGATGAGAGGGTAAGACATGGAAAGAAATCACGATCATTGGTTTTTTGGCCTGATCAGCTGGCTGGCTGGCATCTATCTAGAATGGGGCAACTCAGGAAGGACTTGGCTTTGGGGTCTGATGGAGGGAAGTGATTCATTCAGTGTCCAAGTGGAGGTGTAGGTAACTAAATAGTTGTTAAGGATGGAAGTCTGGAGTTCAAGGGAGAAGCCTTGGCCAGAGACAAAGATTTGAGATCCACCAGACAGTAGATGGTTTGTGAAGCCACAGACCCAGATGAGAGCCACTACAGGGAGGCAATGAAGATAAAGACGGAGTCAAAATCAGCTCGGGTCATTTGGTTCAACTATCACTCAGAGATAGTGGAGGAGGAGAGGAAAGTGAAGGAGCCTGAGAAGGAGCTGCGTAGGAGGAGAACCCGGGAGAGTGGAGTCAGAGAGGTCTGGAAAAGAAAGCTTTTCGAGAAGGAGGAAGTGACGAAGTGTGTCAAATGCCACTGACAGACTGAGTAAATGAGCCTAGAGAACTGACTTTTGGCTTCAGCAAGATGTGGGTTACTGGTGATGTGGACAAGAGCCACTGCAGATCACGACGGGGACAAAGGGCTGGCTGGAGCAGGGTGGAATGCCGACGGGGAGTGGGGGAAGGGCACGGAACGGCAGACAGAGGAATGAGGGTATCAGGGCAGGGCTTCTCGAAGATGGGCGATGAGGCATACTTCTGGCCAGAGGATAATGACAAAGGTCTGCCGATGAGGGAGAAATAGCTGATACATCATAATTGCAGGAGCGACGTCCAGAGAGGGTGTGAAGGGTGGAGCTCAGCTGGGGGATGTCACCAGAGGTGAGGGGTGTGTTAGCTGATTCTCCTGTGACTGAATCCACTTTTCTCTCTGAAGTATGTGGTGCTGTCATCATCTGCATTGAGGCCGGGAGTGTAGGAAATTCAAAGAGAGTAGAAGTAGTAATTATGTCATCTCAAGAGTGAGGATGGGGAGCTTTTTTTTTTTAAGTTTACGTATTTATTTTTGAGAGAGGCAGAGAAAGAGGGAGAGAATCCCAAGCAAGCTCTGCGCACTCCTCACAGAGCCTGATGTGGGACTCGAACTCACAAACCGAGAGATCGTGACCTGAGCCCAAATCAAGTGTCGGACGCTTAACTGACTGAGTCACCCAGGCTCCCCAAGGACAGGAAGCTTCCAAGGTGTGTCGGAGGAGTTGAGGGCCTGCTTGAGATCTGCAGCTTGGATTCTAAAGTGAGCCCAATTGCACCGGTGTGCTGGTTCTTGAGCAAAATCTGGACCCAACCAGAGTCTGGGGTTTTGCCAGGTCAGCGCGATGGATGGAGAAGGGGTAAAGGGGTTAGAGGCAGCACAGTGATTATCAGGCTGGATCAAGGACTCTAGGCTGGGTGAGGACAGTGGGGACATGGCGGATGACGTTGCAAAGGGGCTCAAGCCAATGGCCCGGAGGCCTCCGTGAGCTCAGAGAATTGCTGCCATGGGGCTAATGCAGGGCCTGAGCTGGAAACAACAGGAGGTGGCATTCAGGGCTTCAGGGAGTGGGAGATTTGAGGTCACCAGGGATGACAAGACCGGAGTGTGTGGCTGAGGAGGGCTGGAGACAAGGCTGTTGTGGTCAAGGAGGACCCCTGGCTTCTCTTAGCTCCTGAGCCCCTCCCAACTTGGGGGCCTGAGAGCTAAATCCTACCAGAGCTGGAAAGGGCGAAGCTCTTCACTGTGCAGACAGAGAAACCGAGACCTGGAGATGCAGGTTGCAGAAACGACAGTATCAGAAGCTGGGGTTCGGAATCCCAGTCCCAGGGTGAGGGGAGATTCTCCCCCACCCCCAGGATGCCCCCTGCCACACAGCTTTCCCTCTACTCTCCATCCTCTGGGGGAGGGGGTCCCCCGCAGACAGAAGTCCACAGCCCCAAGGAGTGCCTTCTTCTCATGCCACGTGTCCTGACATGTCTGGTGGCAGATCCGCCCATTATTTCATTCACTCATATGCCCACTCGTTCATTCATTCATTGATTTATTCATTCAGTGATTCTATCTCTCGTTATTCATTCATTAGGTTTGAGCTGTTAAACCAAGTGCAAAAGAAGAGTTCCTTCACTGTGAAATTGCTCATCTACCCATCCAACAAGTCACACATCCGACATACATCCAGTGCCGCCAGTCACAGATCTGCATAGGGGTAACAGATGGCCAGCACATGCCCTCAAATGTCTGGCAGGTGTCCAGGCTTTCCCTTGTTCATTGATGACCTAACCCCTGGTGGCAAGCATGTCATATGTGTGCCAAACGTCTGTTCTTCTAGCCTCTTCCTCATAGCAGAGCTGATAATATGTGAATTGCCGTCGATCAAAGTCCACAAGACAAGTCTTTATAAACTTCGAAAGCTGCCTATATTTCCATCAGAGTTTTTTTTTTTTTTAAATCTGAGAGCAATGCTCGCTTATTGTAAAAAATTCAAAGCATGACAAAGCAAAGGAAAAAACCCCTTACAATTGGATCCTTCCGTCCCTCCATCCCACAGCACCAACACACTTTTGTGTGGGAAGTGACTGTGGATCTTTTCTATACATTTGCAAAGGAAAAAATATATATACATATATACATAAAATATGTATGATGGAGTGTGTATTTACAAATGGAGATCATCGACTATAACTATTCCGCAACTTGTCTTTTCTCTCTGGCGATAAATGAGGAACGTTCTGCCAGGTCAGTACTTCAGATCTCCTTCATCCTTTTTAAAGGACGCATTGCACTCACAATATGGATGGATCTGATGCGTTTCATTGGCTTCTGTCAATGCACATTTAGGGTGCTCTTGTTTACAACCCCCCCCCCGCTACAATGTTCAGTGCTCCTCATTCTGACCTCTTCTGTATGAGCATTTCTTTCCTTCTTTCTTTCCTTCTCTTTCTTTCCTTTCTCTCTCTCCCTCCCTCCCTCCGATCCTTTCATCCTTCCTTCCTTCCTGTTTTACATGGGCTTCAATGCCCATCTCAGAGCCCAGTGCAGAGCTTGAATTCATGACCCTCATATCAAGACCTGAGCTGAGATCAAGAGTTGGACACTTAACCAACTGAGCCACCCAGGCACCCCTGTATGAGCATTTCTGAAGGTTCATTCGCAGAAGTAGAATTGCTGGGGTCATGAGCATTTAAAATTCTAATGGGGGAGGCACCTGGGTGGCTTAAGCATCCGACTTTGGCTTGAGTCATGATCTCACAGTTCCTGGGTTCAAACCCTGGGTCTGGCTCTGTGCTGACAATTCAGAGCCTGGAGCCTGCTGCAGATTCTGTGTCTCACTCTCTCTCTGCCCCTCTCCCACTCACCTCTCTCAAAAATAAACATTAATAAAATAAAATAAAATTTTAATGGATACCCATGCCAGGCATAGCGCCAGACACATAGTAGGATATTTATAACTATCCATGCCATGAAAGGATGCTGCTAGATTGCTCTCCAGGGTCACCCCCATTTCCCTCCTACCGACAATAAACAGAGACGCTGAACTGGCTGTTTCTGCCACCAGGTCCCAGCAACGCCAGGTTTCAGGAGGCCTACTACCCTCCAGGCCACTCCCCTGCTGCTGGGGAGGATTTAAGGGCTCTCATGTCATCTTTGAAGAAAAGAAGGTAGCATCCAGGCTGAAGGTGACCTCCTCCTCCCAGTCTGTAAATCCCATTGCTTAACATCCTCCCGCGCAGGCGGGTGTTTACTCGGTGAGGGCATCAGCTCTGGGACTTCTCTCACTGGGGCTCATTTACATCAATGAGTAAATTCCTTCTTCCTTCTGCTCCCCTTGATCAATCCCTGAAACTGAAGGGAAACGTCTCAGGGCTGCACCCGTTCCTGAAACTGAAGGGAAACAAACATCTCAGGCTGTGCTCATTCTCCTAACTGCCAACTCTGACACGATCTCATCCCAAACTACTGTTCTCCCTTTGGAGCTCTGTCCCCAGCCCCAGCCCGAGCATCTTTGGGGCTGGCTGTGCCATCTCCCTGCTCCTGGCCCTGCCACCTGCCTGGGTCGTGACACCCTAAGGATGGGTATTATCGAGAGCCCTGGAGGAGGCTCGCGGCAGGGGCAGTGCTACTTCCGGTCCTCCCAAGAGCTTCGGCCAGTGTTGTTGCTGTGCCCTCCATCCGGGGAGGAAGGCCAGCCTCCACGGGCTGCAGGCGGGCAGGGCAAAGGCAGGGTCACGGTGGAGGAGCCCAGCCCTGCCTGAGCCCCGAGATACTGGCACGTATCTCGGAAGGTCTCTCTCACTCTGCGTCTCCGATGCTAGTCCCGCAGCTCCACACTTTGCTACAGGCCCCGAGGACAAAGATGACTCTCTCGTGAGCTGAGGGGGTGAATGCTTCTTTCCCCTTAGGGGTTAACTCTGCAGCTGAGCAGAGGTGGAAGCGCCTGGAACCACGCCGGGCTGGAAGAGAAGGGTGAATCTGCCCTTTCCTCTCCTCTTTCCAGGAGATTCCAGGGTGGGGCAGATCAAGATCTGACCAGAGGCCCTGCCCCACAGATGGCCAGCCTCCCCACACCCCTCTCCTTTGCCCCCTCCCCACCCCCACGGCGAGGAAGGCAGGGAGCTGAACTTCACCTCTCCTGAGCAGGGCAGCAGGAGGATGGGGTGGGGAAGAAAAGAGCAGTCACTGCCGCGCGTGGTCCCCAGCTTCCTGTCCGGCTCTTGGCACCCTGAGACCTGGGTCTGGGTCAAAGCATCTCCAAAGATCCTTTCCCAGAGGGTGGTTCACAGATGTCCTGTCTGCACTGGCTCCTCATCAATACGTCCATGGTGGGATTTGGAGATGCAGTGACCAGCCCCCACAGTCCCCCCTCCCCGCAGTCCCTGGGCTCAATCCCCAGTTACCTCCCCGCCCAGCCAGAGGCGGACTCTCAGTGACAATCAGCTAAGGTTTAGTGAGTACACGTTTGGGGGGAGGGTGCAATGGGGTCTCCTCTATTCAGGTAGACCCGGGGTGCCTCAGAGCCCACAGTCCAGTCTCCTACAGAACAGAAGTACCCTCTATAGTATCTCGGAGCTGGCTGTCCAGTCAGGATTTGTATATCCCCCCGATATGGGGTTCTCTCCACTCCCCAGAGTAGCCCGTTCCGCCGTCAGGCACCTCTAAGTGTTGACGTTTTCCTCCTGGCAGCCTCCCACCTGGGACGGGGGTGGGGGGTGGACACTGCCACTTCTGACGGGCGCTGGGGACAACAGAGGCGGCTGGGCCGTTTCTGCCACCAGGTCCCAGCAAGGTGTGGGGCAGGGACAGGAAAAGCAATAAGTTAAAACCCAGAATGGCCAGAGACACGGCACGATGGCTGGGGGCATCACAGGGTAGAGTCCCAAGAGTCTCTGGCTTGATCCGGGAGGCACGGGGGAAGAGGTGGCTGATGGCGTCGCTCCGGGCAGCAGGTGGCTCAGAAGGCGGGGTTGTCGATGCCGCTGGGCACCTCGGCATATTCCTCAGGCCCGAAGCTGTAGGGAGGGGGCGGCTCCATGGGAGTCAGGACGGGCTTCAGAATAATCTGCAGGGGAAAGAGGGGACACAGAGTTTTCCGGGGGCCTGGCAGCAGCCATCCCCCCCCACCCCCCCAGTGCCGGCTGTGCATGATTACCAAGGGGAGAGGTGACCCCATGGTGACCACGGAGCCCCCTCTAGGTCCACAGGGCTGGTGTGAGGAGGGCCTCACTGTAACCCGTTGCTCTAAAAATCTGGACCATAGGGAGGTACGGCCAGCCGAGGAACCGAGCCAGGAGTGGGGCAGAGATACCCACCTCGCTGTAGGGGGGCGGGGGCTCAGAGGCAGACGTCCTGACTGTCTCTGGGGGGGCAATGGAGGGCGGCTCCGGGGGCCCCTGGTGATCCATCGAGGGGTCTTCCTCCTGTTCTCTGCAGCTGCCACAGAACCGCTTAGCCAGACAGCAGATGCACAGGAGCGGCGTGATGGTGAAGAAGGTGATGACAAAGATCCTAGGGCGAGGAACCCCCAGCATCTCCCTGAGTGTCGGGCTGTCCCCACTGCACCCCCGCCCCTGCTGCGGGCAGGAAATCCGGTCCCCCCGTAGACTGCGCCCAAGGAGATCGCCCTGGGCTCACCTCAGGGGACTGGAGAAGAGCTCATTCTCCTGGCAGCAACTGTCACCGCAGCATTTGAATCCCCTGGGGCAGGTGCTGGGGGGCCAAAGAGACACTGCTGGTCCCACGGCGGCAGGATGATCCCAGCCTCCCCGAAACTCACCCATTTCTTGGGGGGCACAAGCCATGCCCTAGCAGTGGGGCCCCGTGGGGGGAAACCTGGAGAAGGGACCCGGGATCTGGATTCTAGGCTCGTCTCAACTACGTGTGCAGAGTTCTGCTCCTTCCTGGTCTCACTTTCCTCGTGCATAGAGTGGGTGTAATGAATGTTCCGTCAACATCGCTGAGCAGGTGTGGGGCAGCCCGGGGACAGTGGCTACAACAGCACTCCACTGACGGGAGGGCAGCAGTGGCGTCTGTCCCTGAACTAACTCGAGGAGCCCTTGCTGGAGCCCATGGACGAAGAGGTGGGAAGGGCAGGCTGTTCCTGGAACGCCAAGTGCTGGCTTGATGGAATCATTCATCAGCTCAGGAGCCACCCCCTCCTCATTGTGCTCAGGCTTTTTGACATTTATATATTAAGGCTGGCACAGATAGTTTGCCCGCCCCACCCCGGGGTGGTGGGGGGAGCCCTCAGACAAGAGGCAGCAGAGAGAGGGGTGGGGATTTAGACTTCAGACCCACCCACAAGTGTCAAGCTCCTTGGCTGGAGAAGGAGCGTGAGGAGTGGGGGCTTGTGGGGGAGCAGGAAACACGATCATGCTAGAAGGGCAGTGGGTAAAGATGATGGATGAGATGCCTTTCTGCCCCCCTCCCCCATGAAGGCAGATAGGGCAGGATTTGGGGTGTCCCTCCCTCAGACAGGAAGTTAGAGCCCAAAGCCTAGACTTACAAGAAGAGACCACATTTGGCTGCAGCCTGTGGAAGAAAAGAGGCAGAGGTGAGGGGTCGTGAACTGGGGAACGGCATCTCTACCCCCCTGCTGCCCGGGTACAGAGCCTGCTGTGGGGTTCCCAAAGGATCAACCCTTTCCTGCTCTCCACCTCACATCAGGTCTACAACCAGAGCCCCAGCTGACACCTGGCGCCCCCAGCTCTCCTTTCTCTCCTTGCCACACCCCTATAACACAGGCACTTACCCCCAGGGCTGTCAGCTCACGCCTTCCTGCCACCCCTCCAATCTATCTCCTTTCCTGGACCGTGGGTCCAGGGCACTGGCAACTCTCCTCCTGCCCCGCCCCCTCCGAATCACTCCCCCACACTGCAGACAGGTTCCGATCCAGCAAATCTGATCACCCAGCAAATCTGATCTTGCTGGAAGCTCCCTTCAGTGGCTCCCTGAGCAGGGACCCCCAGTGACCAGCCTCTGCCCCCTTGCCCACACATCCGCTGGGAGTTCCCTGCACACGCCTGGGTGTTTTACACCTGTGGGCCATTTGTCTGGCAGATCCCTGCCTGGCAAGGGGTGGGGGGAAGGAGGAGAGAGTGGTGTTCCTCGTTCTTCGAAGCCCTCCAGACCCTTCTCTGAAGGCCCGGTTTCTCCCTCTCTCCATTCCTCTTCTGGACCAGAACTATACCTATCCCAGTCCACTCCCCCAGGGCACGCCTTTCCCCTCACCGCGCTGAAGTTTTCTCATAGCTCTTATCCACATCTAACAGGCTACACAGTTCCTTTTATCTGGTTCATTGTCTGTCTGGTCAGAAGAACGTAAACTCCAGGAGGGCAGGGATTTTGGTCTGTCATCACTGTTGAAAAGCCCAACAGCCGTAATATGGGCAGAATGGACGAAAGAGTCTTTTCAGATTACAGTAAAGCCAAGAAAACCAGTGACAGCCAATGACTGTTGGGCTGAGTCCCCCTTTTCTGGGCTCAGCCCCACGCGGAAGCCTGCCTCCCACAAACCTTGCCCCCGCAGAACTGGAGCCAGAGAATCGCGAATGAACACCCACCCGCCGCCCCCCCCCCCACCTCAATCCGCAATAGATGGCCCAGAGATGATTAGATCTTCACAGCACACAGGGGCAACTGCAGAGTTGGGGACAGACCAAGGGGTCCAGGCACTCAGTAGAAGCCTCTTCCCCTTCAGATTCCTGGACCCCACTTTCCTGGGGCTTTCTTGGCTCCCAACTAAGAAGGATAGAAAACAAACAGGTTTAATCAATTAATCCCGAGTTGCTGTTTGGGAGGGTAGACCTCCCAGATTCTCTCCCCCCCCTCCCCCCGACTTTCACCTCGGGCAGGTCTTGTCTGGGGTGGCTCGGTCTGAGTTTTATCGAGCGTGCGTTGGTGTGGTTATAAAGAACCTCGGCGTACTTACACGTGCAGTGCGGACATTATCAGCACCTGCCTCCTGGGGTCGCTGGGCGAAATCAAGAGGCTTGCTCAGCTTAGCGCTGGCACAAAGGGCTTGCCTAGCGGCTGAGAAGGAGTGCGAGGGTTTCAGGGGCAGAGCCCCAGCGAGTCCACACAGTTGTGTGACTGTGTCCTGTTCTGGGGAGGGGGCCTGGGATGTCCTGGCATTTTTTTTTTTTTAACGTTATTTATTTATTTTTGAGAGAGACCAAGCATGAGCGGGGAAGGGGCAGAAAGCGGGAGACACAAAATCCGAAGCAGCCTCCAGGCTCTGAGCTGTCAGCACAGAGCCCGACGAAGGTCTCGAACCCACCAACGCAAGATCATGACCTGAGCAGAAGTCAGATGCCCAACCGACTGGGCCACCCGGGGAACCCCGGTCGCTGGCATTCTTAAACAGAAGTGAGACATCCCTGTTTTTGACCCATGTCAGTGGCCAAAACAATCTGCCACCCCAGGACCAGGACGGGACAGATCTCTCGCATCATTTTCAGAGGATGGAGGCCAGGGAGGAAGGAGGGGGGTGCTTAATCCCTGCCTCAGGCTCAGAATCACTGATTTCAGAGGTCAACCGGCCTTGGGTCAGGCAGCCAGCTCAAATCCTGCACAGACTAGAATCCTACCCCGGCTCCTAGAAGGGGTGGAAGAAGCCTTCTCTCCCCTAAGGCACAAGCAAAGACACAGTCCCAGAGAGGGCCAGAGCTTCTCCCAAGGTCACCCAGCACTTGAGGAACAGAGACAGGCGGGTCAGACGTCCAGACCTCAGTTCCCGCTAGTCCCCGCTTTCTGACATAGCGGGAGGAAGCGGGAAGGATGTGCCCAGGTTAATATGAGGGTCAAAGTCCCCACTCACAGACAGGCACTAGGTGTCAGATGGTGGTGGGCGGGGTCCAGGTCCCTCTACACAGTCCCCCCGCAGATGAAGGAACCCAGGCTTTCTCAGGGCCTCCCTCCACTGCCCTCACCTCCACTTCCCGGGCAAAAAGAGAAAGGAAGTTGCTAACTGCGTACGGACCGACCGGTCACCAGGGAATCCTGACAAAGGAAGGTGGCGACCGCGCTCCAGAAGTAGGCCCCTGACCCACAAAGTTCAGGGCCCGGAAAGTTCTATAGCTTTAACTCCCAAGCGCTCACCTGTTGGGAGCCAGCCAGCAGGCTGAGCAGCAAGGTGGGTACGAGGCCTGGGACCCAGGCGTCGGACATCCTGGCGTGGGGGCCACAGAGCTTCCGTGTGTGTAGGGGGAGGAGGGGGGAGGCGGGGCCACGACCTCTCCCACGTCTCTCCACCTATGGAGCCCCGCCTCGGATGGGGGCGGAGCTTATGCACCCGCGAAGGGCCGGGCTTGGGGCAGAGAGGGGGAGGGGAGGAGAGGGGCAAAAAACCTGGGTTGGGTTTTAGGAGGTAGAAGAGATTAACTGGAAAAAAAAAAAAAAAATTGTGAGGTCACTCCTAGGCTGAGGAGCCACTCTTTGCCAGTCCCCGCTCCTCCACTCCTAAGTGGCTCCGGGCAGGAGAGAGACAGGGCTGCGCCTGGCCGGGGGCCAGGATAGGGGTGGGCGGCGGGGGAGAGGATGCCGGCGGAGCGAACCACCCGCCCACCCCCCCGCTGCAAGTCCCTTTCCACCTGGGCTTGCAGGGGCAGTGGTTGGGGGAGAGGGAGGCGGAGGCTCGGGAGTGGATTGAGGGCAGTGTATGGGGTGGGGGTGGCGGGGATGTGCCACCTTCATTTTTGGCCAAGAAGGACGGAGAGGCGGCCTGGGTGATTTCAGGAGCACAGCGCTAGTACACTCGCGTCCCCCAGCGTCCGCTGCAATCCTGGGAGGATGTGGGGGCACCCTTCCTCCATTTGACTTGAGGGGAAATTAAGGCCCAGGGTTAAGAGACAGAGATTCGGCAGCTGCAGCAAAGCGGCAGCCAGGCGAGCAGGGGCGCGGCGAAGCAGGCTCATCCGGATTCCTGGAAAGACCCCGCGGAGGCTGTCCCGGCTGGGAGGGCCGGATTCCGACCCTCGGCAGCCGCACCCCAGCCCCCCAGGCACCCTGTGCTTCCCGGATCCGGCCGGCAGGTGGCAGCATCGCCCAGCGCGGGATTCCCACGGAGGCCCCACAGCGCGCGAGCGCCTGGGACCTGGGGCCCGGTCTCCCCAAGTTGCCCCACAGGGGCAGCTGGCTAGCGGGCGGGATGGGAGGACGCCTCGGTGGGCATTGGGCGCAGGGTGAGCGCCAGACACTCAAATGCGGATGAGACTCGGGGACGCCGTGCGGGTGTCGAAGAGCTGGAGCCTGACCCTTGGGGAGCGGGCGAAGAGGAGATGATGGGTGGGTGCTGCTCCCGGCCTGGGGAACCGGGGAGGGCTCCCCGAGAAGCCCGGTTCCCAGGCGGTTAGGCGTCTCCTGCTGTGTCTCAAATCGGACGTTGCCGCTGAAAACTATCCCCAACTTAGTAGGGATGGACAGACTTCCTCCTCTGGCTGTCCTTTCTTTTTCTCTCACCGCTCTCTCTTTATCTCTGGCTCCCGTCTCTGTCTTGTTGAACCTCTCCGTGTCTCTTCCCCATTCCTCTCGGTCTCTCCTCTTGTTTGTTTCTCCCCATCCCTGTCTCCACGCGGTCTCTCAACATTTCCGCTTGTTTCCCTGTTTTCCCATCTCTGTTTGTTAATCACCGTTTGTCTGTGTTGGAGTCTGTTTCTCTCTGTGTGTGTTTCTACTTGGTCTCTGATTTGGTCCTGGGTCTCCCTGACTGTGTTTCTCCCTCACTCTCCTGGGCTCTCTCTATCCCTCCTTCCTGTCTCTGCTTCTCATTATCTTTCGGCCCTTTGGTGCCTCTAAGGGCAGAATCTTCCAGTCCCCTGATCCTAGTGGAATTCGGGTCTGGCTCCAGAAAATACCCCCTACTTCCAGTTCCTGGTGATTCTGAACTTGGAGAAGGTCGTGGGCAGGGGCACCTCTTCTCTCCCACCCATGCAGTTGGCTCTGGCCCCCCCCGCCAGCCCCTCTAACAAGTCCAGAGAGCGCTGGAACCTTCTCCCAGCAACACACCCCTACTGCTGCCTCCTTAGCGAGGTTGTTGCTGACTTGGACTTCCCTCCTGGCCCTGCCCTTGCCCTGCTGCCCATGGCCTAGGGTATCTCACTGGGTCCCCAGCCACTCTGCCTAGGCCGGAGCCCTACAGAGGCGTGGCCTTTAGGGGACAGGAAGATGGGTGAGCTTAAGGGCGGAGGGCAACATGGAGAGTGAAATGGCAGGGCCGAGAAGGGGACAGAGGAGTCAGAGGGGTGAACGTGAAAGGCTGTGGGGACTGACTAGGTGAAGAGGACCAGGCAGGTACCAGTGCCCTGAGAAGGGGCAGAAGGCGTGCGTGGCTCCCTCTGGCTCCCTGGCATCCATCTGACACAGATCTAGGGCTGCCAGACAAAATTTAACTGGGTGCCCAGTTAAATTTGAGTTTCAGAGAAACTGAATAAATTTTTTAGTATGAAGGTACTAAATATTCCTATGCAATATTTGGAACATACTTATGCTAAAATCTGTTTGTTGGGGCGGCCAGGGGGCTCAGTCGGTTAAGCATCCAACTTCGGCTCCGGTCATGATCTCGCGGTTTGTGGGTTCAAGCCCCGCATCGGGCTCTGTGCTGATGGCTCAGAGTCTGGAGCCTGCCTCAGATTCTGTGTCTCCCCCTCTCTCTGCTTCTCCCCTGCGCATCCTCTATCTCTCTCTGTCTCTCAATAATGAACGTTAAAATTTTTTAAAAAAGTCTATTTGTTGCCTCTGAAATTCAAATGTAACTAGATGCCCTGTATTTTTATTTGTCAGGCCTGTGACCCTAGCCACCTTGCTAAAATGTCACAGGGACAGACATTTGAGAAGAGCGACTCCACCCTGGGCCCCACATCTCTCCACAGTGGGAAAGTGAGGCTCGGGGGGCGGGGTTCAGAGGGCCTCTGGCACCGGCCCCTTGGTCCCCAGTTTTGTGATTTCATGACAACCACCTGCCTTTCTCTGCGCCTTCCTGCAGCTGGGGACAGGGCAAGCGACCTGGAGCCGGGTGGTCCCAGCTCAGTCAAGCCAAGAACCCCAAGCCCTGATGTCAGCATCCATCATGGCTCTCATGAGCCCAGCATTCCTGGTGGGTGAGGTCGGGTGGGGATGGGGGTGCAACAGGGCCCCAGGCCGAGCAGACAGGGGGCTTTCTTGTCCAGAGGCAGGACTCTCCTGCCCCAGGGCAGCATCTTCCGGTCAACCCTTAGCCTGGCGATGGGAGGGAAGTGTGCACAGTGTACGCTGAGGCACGCAGGGACATGAGGGCAGGGAGGCCCAGAGACCTCGGGCAGTCCGCGAGTCCCCCTAGATTCCAGGCCAAATTCCATCTGGGGTTTCCCAAGAGCAGCAGAGCCGAAATGTCTTCATACTCTCTAGCCGCCTCCCCGGCCCATTCACCAAAGAACGAGTCGATTGTCTACATCCTATAAACGCCCAGCTGCAAGGGTCTCGGAGGTCAGCTGGTCCACCCGCTCCCTCCTCGGGGCAGCCAATTTGAGCCCCAAGGGCTGGGAAGGCCAAGTCCACACGGGATGCTGGGGCCGAGTCAGGACCAGAACCAGGCAGGTCCCTGAGACCCCACACTCAGACGCAGCCTCAGGGGAAGAAGCTGCCTGGGGGCCGCGTCTCTGGTTGAACTCACTGGGGGGTTGGGGTGGGAAGGCTTGCCGGGTCCTGGGTGAAGGGGAAGAGCCGGACTGAGTTCTGACCCTCTCAGCCCCTCCCCTGTCCTGTGATGGACACGGACACCCAGAATGGCTTATGGCATTGGGCTGGGATCTTTTCAAAGCCTGCAGAACATTCTGTTCTGGCCCAGCGCTGCCGGCAGGGACAGGCGGTGTTCTGTTGTATTGGTCAGTGCGCCACTTGCTGCGGTGTGCCGTGCCATCCGAGTCGAGAAGCTAACCTTCGCTTTGCCTCTGTAAACTCTGTGGAGGGAAGTGGGGGTGGCAAACAGCACCTCCTTCGTCACATGGGGTCACTGTGAGGATGACGTAAAGGGCTCGGTGTCAGCAAGCAGTGATGGTAAATAAATGTTAGCTTAATCATAACAAGCAATAAATGTTTAATTCCTGGCGGAGGAAAGGGGCCCAAAGCTCCTTCTCTCCATTTCACCTAGAGGCAGAGGGAGGTACCAAGGAAAGGAAGGGTCTTGCTTCCTTCTGAGAACCTCTCTTGGTCCCCTCTGGATGGGCCACCAAAGTCCAGCTACGGGTCCCCGCAAATCACCCTGCTCCTAGCCCCCTCTGCTGTCCGTCAGGTGAGTCTGAGCCAGGTAAGAGAGGGCGGGGCCCGTGACCTACCTCAGAGAGTGACCTGGTATTGACCAGTCTTCCTAGAGAGCTACAGGGGACCGGCTGTGACAGCGGTGCCGGGACCAGAGATTTGAGCAATTCTCTGTTTCTGGCTTGTCCCCCACTGCCGACTGAGCACCGCCTGGGCTGGCCTCATGGCGGGCGCCACCTCTCCCTCAGGGGGACTGTGGACTGTGCTTGTCACAGGTGTCTCCACTGTCACTGGCTTCGTGCATGTGGCTCCGCACCTGCCTCTGCACTGTGGCCCCCGTGTCCTGCCCAAGTGTTGTCCAGCCAGGCACCAGACCCTTGCTGCTTCCCTCTTTCCCTTCTTCCCTCTGCGTGGCCAGCGCTCTCCGCCGAGAACACCTGTTCCCAGACCCCTCCCCGAAACCTCACAAATTCTCACCCGTTCTTCAAGGCGCAGCTCCAATACCACCTCCTCCTGTAAGTCACCCAGGACTTGGATCTTACCAGCCAGGCCTTTTTCTCTGGGCCTCTCTGCTGGCCCTTGGCCATTCTCCCTAGAAGATGTGTATACATGTTCTAATGTTCCCACCAGGCTGTGGGGGCTGGCCCAGTTCTGATTCATCTTTCATTTCCCCATGGTGCTTTGTTCCAAGTAAACACTGGCTCTGTTGTCATTGAACTGAAGCCGGTTGGGGGCCTCCCAGGGTCAGGGGCCAGATTTCTTCAAGGGGACAGGGAATGGCTTTCCAAAATCCTTGGTGGGGGGGGCTCTCATTTTGGGGGGGGGTCTGTCCCAGGCTGACTGGCTTCTCATCTTCAGTGGCTGTGCGTTTTCAGGAATCCACTTCTTCCTCCCCCAAGCGTCCACATACCCTCTAAGTGAGTAAGATGATTCCCTGGGGATCAAGCAACT